AGAATAGAATAGAATAGAATAGAATAGAATAGAAAATATGGAATGGAATTAGAATAGAATAGAATAGAATAGAATAGAATAGAATAGAATAATAGAATAGAATAGAATAGAATAGAATTCAATTTTTCATTGGCCAAGTGTGATTGGACACACAAGGAATTCATCTTTGGTGCAGAACTCTCAGTGTACAAAAAGAAAAAAGAAAATTCATTCATCCAGAATCATAAGATACAACACTTAGTCAGAGGTTACTAATAAGCAATCAAATCATATTAGGAAACAAATAAAACAATATAAATTGTAAAGATACAAGCAACATGGTTATAGTCATAAGTGGGAAGAGATAGGTACTAGGAAGGATGAGAGGAATAATAGTAATACAGTCTTATAATAATTAAAATCATTTGATAGTGTTGAGGGAATTAGTTGTTTAGCAGAGGGATGGCGTTCAGGGAAAAACTGTCTAATTTCCCCCGAAATTAGTGCCTAGTTGTTCTGGTGTGCAGTGCTGTATAGCGTTGTTTTGAGGGAAGGAGTTGAAACAGTTTATGTCCAGGTTGTGAAGGGTCTGTAGATATTTTCACAGCCCTCTTTTTGACTCGTGCAGGATACAGGTCCTCCATGGAAGGCAGGTTGGTAGCAAGTAGAAAGTAGGCTGAGGCTACTAGCTTACTTTCTACAGCTACCAGTCCAACATTTCTGTTGCTAAGTGAAACATCGGTTTAAATGAATTTTTCCCCATTTTGTGACCTTTGTCACTTTCTTGTTAAATGAATCACTGCAGTGGTTAATTTAGCAATCCGGTTATGAAGTGAATCTGGTTTCCTTGTGGATTTTGCTGGGTGTGAAGGTCACAAAAGAAGATCCCATGGATGCTGCAAACCGTCATAAATGGGGACCGGTTGTCAAGCATCTGAATTTTGATCCTGCGACTGACGAGGATGTTGTAATGGCTGTAGGTGTGAAAAACAGTCGTCCATCCCTTTCTTTCAGCCCCATCATAACTTCGGTCACTAAAGGAAAAGTTGTAAGTTGAGGACTACCTGTAAGGGGATTGCCGCCCACTTGCTGAAGGCAAGGATTCTTGTAGGGGAAAAAAAAAAATTCAGACGATGGTGCTGGTGAATTCCTGCTTGAGTGAATGGGCTGGTTTTTGCTCAGTTGGGTTGTTGAGCCTTTGGATATGTTTGTTGCTTGGATTGTCCCAATCTTGTCAACTAGGTTTGTTCTGATCAAGGCTTATGGAAACACTAACAAACACATGTTAGTCCCAAAACCCTTTTTTCCTTATTTCAATGGCTGTGAATGTTAGTCATTCACAGCTCGTAATGAGTCTGAAATAGTTTGTCAATAGTCCCATGGAAGTCTGCCCTTCGGGATAAGTCCGATAAGCATGCACCTTTATCTTCCCGGAAAGGCTGCCAACGACTAAATGTCCAATTAGTTAAATGAGGCCAAACGGAACACAAATTCAACACCGAGCTTCAGGTTTTAAACCGACCAGTACAAAGTTGCTTCCTGCAAAGATTCCTGTCCTTTTGCTCCTCCTTTATGTCTTATGGGAGGGCCAATCGCCTCCAAGCCTTACTCCCAAGTCGCCTCTTTTGTCTTAACTGTTCTTGGCTTCTGGCAGCTCTGCGCAAGTGCGCACTGGGAACCGGTTCCCCTTGTTCCTCTGGCTCGCTGCTGCCACACCACTCCCAGATGGCCCTGGCCCCATCTCTATATCAGACGCAGGACCCTTGTTCGAGTCCTCCCCAGACTCCCGGATGTTCTTCCCCACTGTCCAACTCTGCTGCCATCTGTGCAGGCTGCTGACGGACCACAACAAGGTTCTCAAAAAGCAACTTCACTGCAGCTGAAGGATGATTTTATTTCTCCCCCCCCCCCCAAAAAAAAACAAAAAAACCCCCCCTGCAATCTGATCCTGGAAAACTTCCCATTTGTATCTTGTATCGGCATGTTTTTCCACCACCTTTCAAATAATGCAAATTTTGAACACAAAGACCCGTGGCTTGGTTTAAATTCTTGTGGGGGGCACTGTTTTAAGCCTTTAAGGTGGCGTCATTCTGTTATTTAGTTT